ACGCTTGATGCTACCATGTAAAGGCACCTTTATGGCTCCTGCACACCAGCGCGATGACGCGACACGCGATGCGCGATATCCAATGAGCGTACAGCTTTTTCGCACGTTATATCCGTCGCACTATAGAGTGCGACATCGCAAAAAAGTTGACCAAGTTTGAAGATTTGTAGCGCGCGACGAGCGATTTACTGCGATCCTATCTATAGATGCGATGTCGTTATAAACAAAGAGGATCTCTTTGGTCATAAATAAACGTGCAACGACATTGATCCGAGAGTGATATTGTCATTAAATTATAGAATTGCAATAAATGGTAAATATGCAATAAATGATGTTAGGTTTCGTAATCGCGCATCGCGTTTATATGAATAGGTAGAAAATCCTATTCTCGCGATTCGTCGCATATCGCGTGTCGCGTCATCGCGCTGGTGTTACTGAGACAGAGAGAGAGATTACGGTGGAACGAGTTAAACAGTATTTAGATCATGTGCCGACTGAAAATACAATGGGCACTAATCAACCTTACGCGTGGCCTAGTCAAAGTGTTGTGGAATTTAAAGAAGTTGTTTTGATGTACAGGTAATATTTTCAAATTTTTTGATAAAGATAATGCACGATTGTAACATTTGGTAAAAGAAATTTTTGTAATTATATTCGCAGGAACCATTTAGTGCCATCGTTGAAAGAGATAACATTCGTTACTCGACCAGCGGAAAAAATAGGCGTCGTTGGTCGCACCGGTGCTGGAAAAAGTTTGTTCCTATCTTCGTTGTTTAGACTGACAGAGATCAGTTCTGGGAGTATATTAATCGACAACGTGAATATTCAAACGTTACAACTGAACACATTAAGGTATTCATAAACTTGCAAAAAATAATCATTGTATGTTAACAGTTGTAAAGAAAAGAAAAACATTCCAGATCCCATTTAGCAATTATACCTCAGAATCCGTTTCTTATCTTGGGTACTAATCGAGAGAATGTGGATCCGTTGGATCAGTATACCTATATGCACATATATACAAAACCTTTGAGAAATGTAAAGTGCATTCTTTTTTTCATCGATTGGATGGTTTGGATGCAGTCTTGGATGAAGGTGGTAGTAATCTCAGCACTGGGCAGAGACAATTGTTCTGCTTAGTCAGAGCTGTGCTACACAATGCGAAGGTACTTCTTATCTGTAATATTCGAGAAAGCAATTGTTCGTGTATTAATAACTTGATATTTATTTATCTCTGTGAAATTAGTCTCTTTTTCTTATTTTCTCATTTGCTTTGCTTTTGAATAAAAAATTTTTAAGTACCTCAAATTGAAAAATTATCTTCGTAAATCCAATGTTTAATTATGGGTTCTATGTAACCCCTCATGGATTCTAACAATTATTATTAAGAAACTAGAACTAAGAGTGTAAACATTTTCTGCATTTCTTCTGAAGATAAATATTTCAAAATTAATTTAAATAATTTTTTTTAATTTGCATTTTTTTTACATAATGGGAAATGTCGTTAAGTTATAATCTTTTAGGTATTCAAATTTTTAAAAATTTTTGTAATTATCATGTGATAAATATAAAACACAAGACGATACACATTAATTGTTCAGTTAATAGGAATTTTAAGAAAAACATGTATTATATGTATAATTGTACAGAATAGTATCATTATTATATATTTATTTAAAGTAATATAAAATGTTTTCATTGCAATAATATTGTACGTATTAAGTGCATACAACAGCACATAACATATTAATTTGATTTTTGACAGGTTAATATTAATATAAATCGTAAAAAATCTAAAGTTATTACACAGCGCTTTTTAATTTTCTTGTCAGTTAAATTCTTGCATCAATGCGTTAATTTCTGATTACTTATATCTAAATAATTAAAATTACTTTATTTTTATAGAAAGTAAAGACGATTTTTTGGCAATTGTTAATAGTTTAAATAGAAATAATCCACGCATTGTTCTGAGAGATCTGATCACAAAGATTAATATATTAATATACTTTGACATAGTGACAAATATAATAGTAAAATATAATACTAAATATAATACTAAAATATAATACTAAATATAATACTAAAATATTATACTAAATATAATACTAAATAATATTAAAGAGAGAATTCACTCTGATTTGATAAATTTATAAAAACTGAAAATATATGAAAAAATCAAAATAAATAGCTTTGCGCAGTGCAGCTTTTCCAACTTTCTTTTTTATAAAATTCTCGCAATGTAACTTAACTTTTAGCTTAATGTGTCATATAATTAATTTCACATATTGCACTTGTAATCATGAATATATATTATCAATAAAAGAATTGTAATAACTACACAGTATTGCTACTCTACATATAATATAAATATATGAAGAAATCAAAATAAATGACTTTGCGCAGTGCAATTTCTCTAACTTCTTTTTTTATAAAATTCTCACAACGTAACTTAACTTTAAGTTTTATGTGTTGAAATAATAAAAATTAGGTATTCTACTTATTTTTTGCAATTTCTTAAATACAAGTAATCTACGTATTATTTTTGAATAAAAAATTAAAATATTTCCGATTTGACTAAATAAATATTTTCTGAAAAAATATTTATTCATTTAGTGACGTTTAATTTTGCGCCTGTTCCCGAGTTCTCGCTTGTACCGCTAACGAGCGAGCTAAATGAGATTAATTAAATGAGGACGCATCGGAAAGTTTATTCGTGCAAACACTCCGGCTTCGCTTATCGGCATCCTGCCTGCATTCGTCCACGTATCGGTCGTAGAATCTCGAAGATTGTGCATCCGACGAGTGGTAGCCGGGAATTAGCAGATATCGTAATAATCGTGTCGCGCGGTCGTGCGGAGCGTCGAAAAGTACGAAACCTTTGTCCGAAACGTATTTCCGTATCGTAGCATTATCTCCTCGTAGCGGCGCTACTCGCCGTCAAGTGCCCCGGAGGTACCGCCGGCGGGCGACGGACTTGGTGAAATCATTCGGTCGTCCGGAGGTGTCGCCCGTCCCGGAGGTGCCGTCCGTCCCCAAGTTGACGCCGGCCGTTATGTGGTGCCGCACGTATAATCACGCCCGTAACGAGCCGTCTCGGTTGCCGCGCGCGTGATTTCGCATCGGGCGAGTGTTCCGTACCGTAATCGCGGTCACCGCAGCTTGCGTGTTGCGTATCATCCGTAATAATTCGAAATATATGTCTCCGACACGTGGGTTTGAGAGACACGTTTCGAGTTAGTAATCGGACAGCGCCCTCATGTCGAGCGAGCGCCGAATAGTAAGTAACTTTCGTCCGAAACGTTTTTACGTAGCTCTCCTCGTTGCGGCGCCGTAAATCGTCGTTAAGTGTTCCGGAGGTACCGCCGGCGGTCGTCTGACTTCGAGAGATCATTCGGTCGTCCGGAGGTGCCGCCCGTCCCGGAGGTGTCGCCGGTCGGCCGTGGTTCCCGGAGGTGTCGCCCGGCCCGGAGGTGTCGCCCGGTCCGGAGGTGCGCCCGGCCCGGAGGTGCCGCCGGTCGGCCGTGGTTCCCGGAGGTGTCGCCCGGCCCGGAGGTGCCGCCCGACCCGGAGGTGCCGCCCGGCCCGGAGGTGCCGCCCGGCCCGGAGGTACCGTCGGTGCTTATACCTTATTGTCCCGGCATTTCGTTTGTTTCCTTCTTAATTAATGCTAATTATCGTTGTTTGACATTCGCCATACGGCTATCGTGATAATATTTTATCGTACAATAGGACTTTTCGATCGTTCGCTCTCCGCGACAATGTCTCGATTGAACGCGCCTTTCGGCGCTCGCGCTCGCATACGGCCGTGCGTAGGACCGTGCGTCGCCGACCGCCTGGCCGGCCGGTTGGGTACTATAAGAGATACGTCGCGCTCGGCGCGTCGAACGAGTCGAGCGAGTCCGGACGAGTCGTAAACGTACTTTCTCGAGTCTCTCGCCACTCCGGCGTGTTTCGACCGCTCTCCGTACCGTCGCCGACCGCTTGGCCGGTCGGTTGGGTACTATAAGAGGTAGGAGAGATTAATATTGTACGTGTCGCGCTCTCGACGTTGACAAACGAAGAATCGCCCGAACGGGTCGAGAACGGATTTTGTCGAGTCGCGACTCTGACACGGAGAGAACATTTATATAAAATGTTTGATTTGGAAACCACGAATATATAAAATAATATACGATCGTCGCAGAACGCGCCGCCGCCAAGTCTTCTCATGCTTGGAGGTTGCGTGTCTCGCGAGAACGTACGTTCGACTCTCGCGTCGTCTCGTATTCCTCTTCGCCGGGGATTACGGTGCGGCTCTTCTCGTTCGTCGCCGAACGCGCGCAAAATTAACGCACACTTATTTATTACGAGCACAGCATTGCCACGAGTCGGTGTCGCAAGACCGAATGGCTCTTATGTGGCGCGCACGCCTCTAGTGTGTTGGCCGCGCGGTTCCCTCTCGTTTCGTACGCAGCAGCGGAATCGTCGCGCTTACCGAGCATCTACTCCACGGATACGAGTTTGCGGGAAGAGTTGCTTCTTCCCGCTCGCTTTGTACGCCGTAGCGAAATCTTATTGCTGGTCGTGTGCGGTTAAACGCGTACGAACCAGACAGAACAGTCCTCGACGTCTAAGCATCGCCATCGTCGATCTAGCGTCAGGGTGAATCGCGCGGTCTCTCGAGACCGCGCATCATAACATTTGGGAGAATAAGAACACGAGTATTTTGATCTTGTGGATTTTTGAACGGAGAGGAGGAGGAAGAAGAGGAGAGGCGGCGGCGTCGGGGGTTTACTCTCGCCTCCGTCGTTCTCTCGTACGCTTTACATAATAGCGTTAAACACAGCAGAGTGTCGCCGACCGGCTGAGCAAGACCGGCGGCAAATAAAATGGCACATACGAGCGTGTCGCGCGCGCGTCGGTGTTTCGGCATCGAACGCGCGCGCGCGCGAAAAAGAGCTAGCGACGAGTCTTCGGGCTCGCTCGCGAGTTACTCCCTTGCGAGTAACCGAACACGAAGC